TACATCGTCCACAAGGGACGACTCGGGAACTCAACTCCTACCTCGGGCAGCTCACCTTTCCCCCTATGCCCAGGGGAAAGGTATCAAGCCGTTTGACAGCTGATGCAGGCTGTCAGAACGGCTTTTACGCAGAAACAGGCGGGAGCAGCAAACAGCTGCGTCCAGCGAAGGCGCCTGCCACCGGAAGTCTCTCAAGAATGTATGTTAACACTTGATAAATATGGCGGTATATTTGTTGATTTGTATGGTGGAGAGTTGGGAAAAATAAAAAAGTTATAAAAAAAAAGTCATGACGGGATGGAGCTCATAAGTGCAAAAGTCAGAAGAAGCAGGAAAAAGGGATAGGAATCATAAACGGGCTCTTTCCACTGGCCTGACCTCTCTTTCCTTCCCTTTTGCTTATGCGATGCCTTCGTTTGGGGTATTTCAGGTAGTTTGTCCTAGACTTAGGACCACCGTTGGCACTGGAACTTTTGGTCATTGAGTACTTGGTTTATGAGATGTCACCTTGAGAGCCTGGCTCAGTGACTGCAATCCTGTCCACTTGGATGTGGCTGTTAAACAATTTCACAAATCGTCAAGCAGACGAATGTGGGGTTGTCTGAAGTGGGCAGGAGAGGCCATGGGAGTCCCAGCACAGAACACATTTGACTTCAGGGCGTCCTGAAGAAGCTTAGAGATGCTTTGGGACACGTTGCTTGGAAACATGTATGGAACATGTGGCTTGGAGAATGGCGCAAGGCTGCAAAGGCCTCCGGTCTGGGGATTAACGCCTCATTTCTCAATGGCCGCGGTGACACTGGGCTAAAGTCCAGGCCTGGGGTCAGTGGCCACTGGCTAAAATGGCTGAAGGCCCCAGGCCTCCATTTAAGGCCGGCATTGCTGTCAATCAGGGCTGCTTTCCATGGCCTGGATAGGGCGGCTCTGGCTTCCATGGGTGGCTGCAGCTGTGCATCCCACTTCAGCACCCCCCAACTCATGGGGGAGGGCCTGTGCCTGGTCTCTAGGACCACCCCCACCCCCAGACACCCCCACATCCCTTCCCTGGGCCTTCTTCTACTTTAGAACCCTGAAGGATTGTAACCAGGAGTGTGGGATTGTGGCTGTACATGAAGTGGCCATTTGACCCCTCACATAATTACTACTTCACTGAACAACCAAAATTCCAGTCCCGATTTTCGTCCTAAGTTGAGGACTGCCTAAAGTTTCAGAGCTTCTTTTTCACCTCGTCGTAGGACGAGAACCAAAGAGGAAAACATAGAGTCAGTGAACAGCAGGAGAGTTTGCCTCCGAGGGATCTGGGGTGACGGAATCAATGGAGGTTTTGTCTGGGGTGTCCTGCGGACCTCTGACCATGGAAGAGGTTTGGACTGGAAGACATTCATGCTACCTTAGAAGGCTAAAATTTTGTAATTCTTTACCCTTCTGAAAAAGAAATATTATTCTCCTCTTCTTTTTTGTTCCACTAGCAGGAAAACAACTGGGATCAAAGATTCACCTGCACGTCAACTATCAACAGATAGTAGAATATCAGCACAAGGCAGCAGCCACCAAAAAGCATGGAGCCTGGGAAACTCTTGGATCCCCCATCAGACACAAGCAGCACTCTGAAAAACCACAAAAGAACCCATGAATGCTCAGAGTGTGGGGAATCCTTTGCTCGCCGGTCCCTCTTTTTGACCCACAGGAAGTTCCATCTGGGAAGCGGATGCAGTGAAGGATTGGAGGGTGAGAAATCCCTTTTTGGAAAAAGTGTTGAGGATCCCAGAAACCCATGCAAACTAAAGCCCTATAAATGTGAGGAATGCGAATTATGCTTTGGTCAAATGTCACACCTTCTAACACACCAGAAAATCCACACTGGAGAGAAACCCTATCAGTGTCTGGAATGTGGGAAATCTTTTCTTCAAATAGGAAGACTTAAAATCCACGAGAGAATTCACACGGGGGAGAAACCTTACACGTGTTGGGAATGTGGGAAGAGCTTTTCCCAGAAGGGCGGCCTTCGGGCCCATGAGAAGATTCATGCCGGAATAAAACCTTACAGGTGCTTTGAGTGTGGAAAAAGTTTCACCGAGAGTTCGTATCTTCGGAAGCATTGGAAAACACACACAGGGGAGAAAAACGAAAAGTGCCTCGAATGTGGGAAATGTTTTACCTTGAAATCATATCTGGTGCAGCATCAGAAACGTCACATTGGAGAGAGACCCTATGAATGCCCGGAATGTGGGAGACGATTTGTACATTCTTCTGAATTTCAGAAACACCAGAAGAGGCACAAAGGGGAGAAACCCTATGAATGTGGGGAGTGTGGGAAAGGTTTTCTTACTCAAACAGAGATTCAGGTTCATCAGAGGATCCACACGGGGGAGAAGCCGTACAAGTGTGGGGAGTGTGGGAAGTGCTTTGCCAAAAAGGAAAACCTTGGAAGCCATCGCAGAGTCCACACAGGAGAGAAGCCGTACAGATGTGTAGAATGTGGAAAATGTTTTGTAAGGAAAAGGAACCTTTGGAGACATCATGAAACCCACACAGGGGAGAAGCCATATCAATGCATCGAATGTGGACGATTTTATCATACTGCATCAGCCGTTAGATGTCATGTGGAAACTCACACAGGGGAGAGAAATTACAAATGTTTAGACTGTGGGAGAACATTTGCTCATTCATGTTCCCTTATACGTCATAGCCAAATCCATATAGGAGACAAGCCCTATAAATGCTTGGAGTGCAATAAATGTTTTTCTAGGAAAGATTCTCTTTTGATGCATCAGCGAATCCACACTGGAGGGAAACCATACAAATGCCTGGAGTGTGGGAAATGTTTTGCGCGAACTTCATCTCTTGGCAGGCACACCAGAAGTCACACAGGGGAGAGGCCTCACAAGTGTGTAGAGTGTGAGAAAACTTTTCATTGTAAATCTCAGCTAAAAAGGCATCAGAAAGTCCATAGTACAGGTAAACCCCTTCAGTTTTGAGGAATGTGGAAAATATTTTTTGAAACATCACATCTTATAATTCACCAGGAACTTCACACAGTCACAGAAGGGAAATAGTACAGTTTTTTGGTGTGGGGAAACTGTCACAATCAGGAAACCAGCGTGGCACACAGGAGACATTTCACAAATGCTTCAGCAGAAATCAAAATTTTATTTCTGATTTTTTTAGTTTTCATTTTAGATATTAAGATTTTGGGGTCCAAAGAGAAGAAGGAAACTCAGTTTAGACGCCTCAGATAATATGAGGTGATGGAAATTGCCTTGTGATTCCGTTGGACCTAAAATGACAGGAATATCCTATTTTTCTCTTTAATGTGTATTTACCTCCCAGCCAGCCCAGAGCCCAAGGATCTCCTGGTGGTCTCCCATCCAGTACTGCCGAGCTTTCCTAGAGTGGCCAAGGCTGGCCAGGTGTGGTCTCTTAGCTGAGACAAGCAGAATAAAAGGGAGGGTCTCTCTCTGGGTCTGGCAAGATGGGGTTAAGGCAAGTCAGAAGCCCAGTTAAAACTCAGGAGCTTCTCAGAGAAAAACTGCAAGGAGGGAAAGGGTTTGTGCTAAGTGACCGAGAGTCTTTTTGGAGTTGGGCAGGATTAACAAATTC